CTGCAGAACTATGTTTTGTGCTGTTCAGTAATATCAAAGTAAGAACAAATCCAGTTGTCTCTGAATGCATACAGCCACTCATATTGCTGATGCAATCAGATTCAAATGCAGCTGTAGAATCTGGGGTCTGTACACTTGAAAGATTGTTGGACGATGAACAACAAGTAGAGCTCACTTTACCCTATAACATTGTGGACCTTCTTGTTAGTTTGGTCTCTGGGACAAATTATAGATTGATAGAAGCTAGCATCTGTTCTCTCATAAAGTTGGGGAAAGATCGGACCCCACTGAAAATGGATATGGTTAAGGTTGGGGTCATTGATTATTGCCTCGAGTTACTACCAGATGCACCTAGTTCACTTTGCTCCTCAGTGGCGGAACTGTTTCGCATTTTAACAAATAGTAATGCAATTGCTAGGAGTTCAGACGCTGCAAAAATTGTGGAACCTCTTTTCTTGGTTTTGCTTCGTCCAGATTTTAATTTGTGGGGGCAGCACAGTGCCTTACAAGCTCTTGTAAATATTTTGGAGAAGCCGCAAAGTCTTGTGACTCTAAAACTTACTCCTAGCCAAGTTATTGAGCCTCTGATTTCATTCCTTGAATCCCCATCCCGTGCCGTCCAGCAGCTTGGGACGGAGTTGTTATCTCATCTTCTTGCACAAGAGCATTTCCAGCAAGATATTACTACCAAAAATGCAGTTGTGCCACTTGTACAGCTTGCTGGGATTGGAATATTGAACCTACAGCAGACAGCTATAAAGGCATTGGAAAAAATATCCACTAGCTGGCCCAAGTCTGTTGCAGATGCTGGAGGTATTTTCGAGCTTTCGAAGGTTATTATACAAGAAGACCCTCAGCCTCCTCATGCTCTTTGGGAATCAGCCGCCATGATTTTGTCAAATGTTTTGCGATTCAATGCCAAGTACTATTTTAAAGTTCCCGTGGTTGTTCTCGTGAAAATGTTGCATTCAACCGTGGAGAGCACTATCACAGTGGCTCTCGGCGCTTTAGTCAATCATGAAGGAAATGATACATTAAGTGCCGAACAGATGGCAGAAGCTGGCGCTATAGATGCGTTGTTGGACCTTCTAAGATCTCATCAATGTGAAGAAGCCACTGGAAGATTACTTGAAACTTTATTTAATAATGTCAGGGTGCGAGAGATGAAGGTTTCCAAGTATGCAATAGCACCCTTATCACAGTATTTATTAGATCCGCAGACCAGATCACAGCCCGGCAAGCTTCTTGCAACTTTAGCGCTCGGAGATCTGTCACAACATGCAGGACATGCAAGAGCCAGTGATTCTGTTTCTGCCTGTCGTGCTTTGATAAGCTTGCTTGAAGATGAGGCAACAGAAGAAATGAAAATGGTGGCCATTTGTGCTTTGCAGAACTTTGTCATGCACAGTAGAACGAATAGGCGAGCAGTTGCTGAAGCGGGTGGAATATTGGTTGTTCAGGAGCTTCTTTTGTCCCCGAGTCCAGAAATTTCTGGTCAGGCAGCATTGTTGATAAAATTCTTATTTTCTAATCACACGTTACAGGAATATGTATCAAATGAGCTCATCAGATCTTTGACAGGTAGTTTATGTCTGGAAGTGTTAAATCTCTTTGTTGTTCCTTTTTCCTTTTTATATTTTCTTCTACACTAAACTTTTGTTTAGGAGAGTCCAAGAAGTGGTAACTAAAAATTGGGAAATGGTCTAATAGTAGCTATCTTTAAGCATTAGTGCTTTAAGTATGATCTTAGAGGTCAAGTTCCTGCAAGACAGGAAAAATCTAGTATGTCGACCTGAAGGGGATGCTAATCTTTTTCTGGTGGTTTTTTCTCAAGTAAAATTTTCCCTGCTTATTTCTTTCTCCCTTAGGTTTCTAATATTGAAAATGAGTTAAATCGAATATTTTGCTATGCAGCTGCACTAGAGAGGGAATTATGGTCTACAGCAACAATAAATGAAGAGGTCTTAAGAACCTTGAATGTGATATTCACCAACTTCCCCAAACTCCATATATCTGAAGCAGCTACTCTTTCAATACCTCATCTGATAGGAGCTCTAAAATCTGGTAATGAGGTAGCTCAGGAAACCGTGTTGGATACCTTATGTTTGCTAAAGCATTCCTGGTCGACCATGCCGATAGACATTGCAAAGTCTCAAGCAATGATTGCAGCTGAGGCCATTCCCATATTGCAAATGCTGATGAAAACTTGCCCTCCTAGTTTTCATGAGAGAGCAGACAGCCTTTTGCATTGTTTACCAGGATGTCTGACTGTTATTATTAAGCGTGGAAACAACCTAAAACAGACGATGGGAAGTACAAATGCTTTCTGTCGATTGGCTATCGGCAATGGCCCTCCTCGACAAACTAAGGTAAGTAAGCTACATTTGGGCCACCCGCTTTCTTAAAACCATTTGTTTTCTTCCGGACTGTGTTTTCCTTGTACTTGTTTCCCTTTATTCTTTTACTTGTTTCCATGTGATGTGCTGCCCAAGTCGAACACATCTTGGAACGGGTCTCGATCTAGTTGTATAATGAAACTATGAGTTATGCTTAACTTTTTCCATATGATTTTTTGGGGTTAGCTAAAGTTGTTTTCTGGCCATGGTTAGGTTGTTAGCCACAGTACATCTCCTGAATGGAAAGAAGGATTTACGTGGGCATTTGATGTGCCTCCAAAGGGGCAAAAGCTGCACATCATCTGCAAAAGCAAAAGCACTTTTGGAAAGGTAATTGTCCCTCTGTTTAGCTTTAGTTCATTCTCAGAACCAATGGGCACCATTTTAATGCAACCAACAACCATCTCTTATTACCTTAGTTCTAATTGATAATGCTGGTTCTTTTCAGTCTACTTTGGGGAGAGTGACCATCCAGATCGACAAAGTTGTAACCGAGGGATTGTATAGTGGATTATTCAGCCTAAATCACGATGGAGACAAAGATGGCTCTTCTCGGACGCTCGAAATCGAAATCATCTGGTCCAACAGAATATCAGACGACGAACTATGATGTTGCTGCACTAGTACACAACAAAATAATGGAGGAAAGCTGTGAAGCTAGAAATTCTGCTTAATGAGGGCGAGAAGGTAAGTTTGCTTGTAATTATTGATGTCATATGGAAGTTTCAATTTTGTAGCATGAAAAATGAAAAAGAAAAAGGACCACGACCACGACCACCTTAAAATGCAAGTGTAAATTATATTTCTTAAATCTCCTGAGAATTTGGAAGGAAGAAGGGAATTCCCACGATATAGGGAGCTGGAAGAAGAGGGTACTTAGAATTTTGTTGTACAGAAGCCTTAGTCTATAGAATGCTACAATTACAAAGAAACACTACATGTCAAAATGGTTTCAGCTTTCGCACGAAGGTGCTGCTTTCTCAATCATACATCATATATAACGTCTATTGCTGCATTATCTGCCAACCCAACTTCTTTTTTTCTTCTTTTATTTTCAGTTTTCCTGTATTCATTTTTCAAAATTTGCGTTGGTTGGTTGGTTCGGTTGGTGGAGGACCGAAACCGATCCATTAGAACGCACAAGAACCCGACTGACTGAAGACTCGGATTGGGTTAGTTAGAACGAGTAGTAGGTTTGGTTTGGGTATGTAGAATGGAAATGGTCATAAATATTGATAAATTTGTTGAAACTTCATGAAAAATTATAAATTAAGGATTTTGTCTTCAATTATGTCGCATCTTTTTTATGGTGTGGGGTTAAAAGCCAACCAAGCTGCCTCAACAAAAAAAATTTTGTTGGGTACAACGCGTGGGGGCGGGGACTTAAACCCGCGACTTTTTGGTAGATAATTTTTTTTTAGTACAACAAATGGAGGTGAAAGGTTTGAACTCATGACCTCTTGATTAGAGATATATGTCATTTACCCGTTGAGTTAAGCTCGTGTTACAAATAAATTTAAATTTAAATCGAATGGACTAATAAATTTTCAGTATATGCTTATGAAATCATATTGAATGATCGTTCAGTTTGATTAAATTGCTTGGTGAGTTTTCTTTCTAAATACTTTTTAATTAATATGCTTTCCACAATCGTGTTTTTTCCGTTAGAAGTGATTCTTTTCAAACTACTTTTTGGTGTCTCTTCAAAAACTATTTTTGAAGCAATACATAAAAAAAATAATTATTTGTTAGTAAATAGGTAGATTTAGAAAAAAAAAAATTACTTTGTCATTTAAAATAATTTAGAAAGTTACCAAACACTCTCAATTAGTAATTCCATCCGGAGTGTTAGTAGGAAAAGTGGATTTATTTAGATAAAAAAAAAAACCTTTTTTCAAAGTTATCTTAAACACGCCAAGTTTAGTCTATTGTTTTTATATTTTGATGCGAAGATTTGACCAGAGAGAGAGAAAAAGGGTCACTGGTTGGGTAGGTTTTAATACTCTGAAGATTTAAATGAAAACTTAAAGATCTCATTCTTATAAAAATATTGACCTTCATAAATATTATTTAAATTAAATTAAGTATGTCAATTTGAGCCTAGTTTAACTAGTTAAGATACCGATATTTCACCATCTCGTATTGTCAAAATTAAAAATAAAAAAAGTGTTTTATCTTTTTTGAATAAATTTTCAAAAATTATTATTAATAATACGTCGACAACGATTTAATAAGTAGTCGATTTTTTCTGAATAAAAATGCCGCCTATATCGTTATGCATGATTTTTCGGTTTTTATTATTGGTCAATCTTTTTTTGTTCATTTTGCTGTGAGAATTTCATCCTCATGCAGATCCAAACAGAGTTATTTATCCATCTACACCAAATTATGAACTGCCATTTCCAATTCCAATTCCAATTCTTGATTTACTTTTCAAAATTGAGTGAATAAGGTAACGTCCTAGATTCAGATTCCCGCTCTCATGTTTGTAATGGTAATATCTAAAAAAACTGATTTCCAAACTTTTATTTTTCTTGAGAAATTTTCTTCATATTTATTCATACGACATTCATGCATGTCCTTGGTAATAAAGTAAGCTATTACTTCAACCACTTACCAACCTGATCCATAAGTCAATTTATTACTTATCCTTCTAAATGTTGGAGGGTCGAACCCTCTTCCCTTCAAGTACGAAAGCTATTACATATTATATGTATACCTTTCGCGAGTCATTATATTGATCTTCTCTTGGGTTGGATAAAATTCTCCAGCTAACCATTGCTCACCTAGAATGGGGAAATTTCTTAATTAGTGTTGATGAAAGTAAATAAATTGATGTTCAGAAATTAAAGCATTTTGCATTATACAAATGAAACGGTAACATACCATGTTTCATAGGTCTTTTATTACAGTTTGCAGGAGCCCAACCGATACGCTGACTCTCGTTGTCATAGATTACAATCTTGTCAAGCATAGAGATATCTACACATGAATTTGAGGGCCAAAAAAGAAGAATGTAAAAAGAAGTTTAAAAGGGTAAAAAAAAAGCATGGTAAGAGAAAAGTCAAATACTTTCAAAATGTTCATTTTGTTACATGTACTTTCAACCTTGATTCATTTTAGTCCCGATAATTTTAAAATTTTCATTTTGATCTATGTACTTCTAAAAAGTGACTGTCCGTTTATTTTATTTTTAATATTATTTTTTCTATCACAATTTCAACACGACACTACAATCAATATATTTCTTAAAATTTAAACATTACTTCATACTAAAAAGTTTCTCTTATGTATAAAATTTGTGTTAAAATTTTGCAAAGAGGGACAAGAATGATTGCTTTTTGAAACAACATGGGTCAAAATGAAAATTTTCAAAATCCAAAGACTAAAATAAATCAAAATTAGAAGTGTAGAAACTAAAATCAACCTTCTCAAACTACACTAGTTGAAATGAACTAAAGGAGAAAGTAGACTGAGAAAAATAGTATTTTAACCTAAAAGAAAAGAATCTGAAAAGTGGTTCTTTGTCAAAAGTATTTCTCATCTTACCTCCAATCAGGTTATCATTTCCCAATCCTACTTGGGACCCATTCGAAATCCCGAGGCACACATTACCAAATTTCTGTAGAAGAAAGAAGAGCTTAATTCTTACAGTCTGTTCTACAAATCCTACTTTAAATGAGACAGATGTCTGGGAAACTCACACTGATTATTAGATAAGCTTCAGGTGGTATTTGAAACTGGTTCTTGGAGTTTGTAAAGCCCAGGGCCAGGGGCTTGAAAAAGTTCCTCACATCAGCCACAGATTTGAAAGCTTTTGTGCCTTTCCAGCACACTGGAAGGGTTTCATCTTCAGGTTCATCTCTTAGTTTTCCTTTCAAATCATTCTTCAACTGAGATGTGAATTGTGATTACAGATTATTAGTTTACTTTCTACAACAGCTCCTACTTCTCATAATATCATAGCCAAACACATTTATAACTGTAAAAAAAGTTATTGGGTTTCCATCTCACCAGTTTCTCTACTGCTCCATAGACTTTGGAGTTGAAGTAAGTGTAGGAGCTTCCACTGTCAAAAGTCAGGGTAAGGCCTTCACTTCCTACAGCCTTTCCACCATAATAGACCTCTGCAGGTCCAACTGAGTAATTTCTGAGAATGAGATCAAATAAAAGTTCAGTAATCTTTAAGAAGCAATGATGAATTACAACAGAGCTATCTGATTGATTTCTCATATGGCTAACTGACCCTCCCGGAGTGCGTAATATTGGCGTCCACGACATCTTTGAAGATGGAAAAAGGTCACCTCCAAAGAATAGAAATCCTCCCCCTTGTCCGCTGAGGCAGTGGCCGATTATGTTGCTTACAAGACCAAGGGCGCTTAGCTGAGCTACAATTGAAGCTTCACTTCGACCAAGTCCAAGAACACCAGCTATTGAAGAAGACGGTTGTAGACCACCATTCCTCTGTTCATATCCACAGCTGCAGTCAAGAGAATTAGAGGAAAGAAAGACTGGAATCAATAACTTTTGGGTAGTCAACCAAGTAATAAACTGTACCAAAAGCTAAATAATGTCAAAAATGATACTGGTATGAGTTATGTACACACCCAAACCCCAAATTGGGAGTAAGGAAAGCGCCATTAACGAATCTCAGGGGAACTAAGTCTCTGACCAACACGCCAGTGGAAGATCCATGGTCAGCATATTCAACTTCGTAGTCACATTGATCATTGGGGTTGTTGCAAGGGACCTGGCCTGGGGAGACGAGTGCTGCACACAGTGGTTCTCCACAGCGCACAGCGTTATTGTGGGGTCTATATTGCTTATCACGAGGCTGCAGAGTCATGGATACACAAAATTACGCTAGAAATTAGTAATAACTATCCGAAATCAGGAGAAACGGAAAGCAACTATAACGAATAAACCATCGATTTGGATCCAACAAACCAGAGTGCAGCCAGTACATGGAGCATCGCATTGGACCCAAGTGAGGTCACTCCCAGTGTCGATATCGAGCTCAAAAATCTTCGGCGGATTGCCAATGTTGATGGATACCGTAAAATACCTGCAGATTCCAAGCCAGAATCGAGGAAATTTTAACAATCTAGTACACAAGAGACGATACAGAGAATCAAAATTAAACATCGAGTAAGAATGCAGAACACAAAAACACAAACCCTAGAGGATAAACGTTTCCTTGCACGGAAAACAAAACAGAGGCACCAAAACGATCGGCCTCCAACTGCCCCCAATTGGCGACGGAAAACTTGTCGGACAAGGAAACGGCGAAATTCGCAAAGAGAACGGAGACAATCAACAGAAGCAACTGACGCATTCTGTGTCCTGAAACAGAACTCGATTTCCTCTTCTCGATTCGCTTCGAATCCGTACCGAGAAAATGGGGCTTTACTGGTGGCGTGAAGTGATGAAGCTCAGAGCACTGAGAGGAGATTAATGGCGGCTTTGGAGTGAGCAAGTGGACCATATATATATACAGAGCGAGAGAGAGAGAAAAATGGTTGCACTTACGAATCTGTGAGAAGGGAAATTAATGGCAGTCGGAGAAAATGGAATTCGGCTGACGACTTTCAGGTTGTTGTTGCAGACGAAGAAGAAGATGAAGACAGAGGATAAATTATTTAGTTTCCTAAAAAAAAAAAAAGGAAGGGAGAGAATTTAACCGCGTTCAAAACGCGGGACGCCATTGGTCTTTCAAAAGGTCGAAATTACCCTTCTACTTTAATTAAAAATTTCTTTTTCCATTTTTTAGTACTAAATTTTTAAGTTTGGTTATTTATGTATAAATAAACAGTGAATAAAATTTTAAGTTTGGTTATTCATTGATGTATAAATTTTCGCCAAAATGAAGTGGCAATTGGTATATATCTTGTGAGTTGGATCCCCCACCTCACATATTGTACTAAAAACAGTGAATATGATTAAATGAGCAATAAATGTCCAAGTTGGAGAAAGTTGTCCCTGACGCCATTTGTCTTCTTATTTTATTCAAAATGTCAAATTACCTTCCTCTTGGATATTACTCCAGTTAAAAAATGTCAAATTACCTTCCTCTTGCATATTACTCCAGTTAAAAAACACTTTAGGAAAGTGATGTTTTAGTCTATAACAATTTAGTCATGGTATCTTTAAATTAATAATAATTTAATCTTTATAATTTAAATTTTGTAATGGTTTAGTTCCTACCATAAAAATTCTAATCAAAATTAAGTGTCGGTTTTTATTAGATAACAATTTAGACTTTATAGTTTATAAATATATTTTGTCCCCCGTCGTTTTGTCGATTTATATGTATAAGAAAACTCATTAAATATTAACAATATTTTTTACTATATGATTAATTTTTAAACCACAAGGACTAATTTGTACATATTAAATTCATGAATTAAGTTGTTACAAATTTAAAAGTAGACCAATAAATGGTTGTTCCAATGAAATTACCCTATTAATATTTTGGTATTTGAATTTTAAGTCGTGATTATTTCCAGCAAACTACCTCCTTTGTTATTGAGTGATTATTCAGATATTTGTTTGCATTCGTAAATAAATTGTGAATGGGGCCAAACAATAAATGTCAAAGTTGAAAAACGTGTTCCACGACATTGCATTTCCTCCTTTGTCTTAGAAAGGTTGAAATTACGTACCCTTATCTATATTCTATTATTATTATTTTTAAAATTTTATTATATTTGAATTTTAAGTAACTTATTTGCTTGCGGATATAAATAAATTGGGAATACGCAAATATATTTCAATTGAATTTATATAAATTAATATGAATATAACGGTTCAAATATCTATATATTGATTAAATTTATCTAATCTATAACTTGGGTTCATTTAATCATATTTGACATGGTATCAAAGTAGGAAAGCTATAAGTGAGGAACGCTTTTGAATTTGATAGTTTATTGATGTTTAAAATGGTATGAGAAAAAATAATCTCAATCATGATTTTAAATATCTGCCGACACGTCGACATTTTCATCGACATATCTATATTTTCAACATGACATTTCTATTATAGTAAAAAAATCAACAAAATATGAAAATAAAAATCAACAAAATGTCATTAATATATACCTAATATTAATATTAATTATTTTAAACTAATTTAAAAATAAAAAAATATTTATTTGTTAATTTAAATATTTTTTACGATTTTTTTTTATATTTTTAACTTTTACAGAAATATAGGCTAGTTCTCATTCTACAGGGACAATGCACATAAATTTTTTCCAATTATGCAAATTCGTATAATTTTATTTCATACATTTCATAAGTGGAGAATAATTGTCTTCGCTGGGCCCATCCCCTACGTGATTTTTTCCGCTCCGCCATAACACTCCGCGTATGGATGACGCGCCGTCATAGCCCGCGTAAAGAGCGCGTACATATAACGCGTAGATATTACGCCCCGCCATCGACGACTTCACTATATATAGAAGTGGAACAGGGCATCGCCATTGCGATCAAACAGCGATGGTGGAGCAACACAGCGACGGTACGATTTTCTCGATCTCTGCATCTGACGCTCTCTCTTCAACCTCCTTCTTCCGCTATGGAAATTCGTAGTAAATGATGAAACCTGAAATTGATAAGAAAAAACCCTAACTAACAAGAAGCAGCGAACTATTTCTAATTTCATCGTCTCTTCATCTCTTTGAATCCGTTCTTATCGATTAGAAAATGAAAGACCAAACTGATCGCAGAGAATTTCACTGTTATTATCCGAATCCACAGGCGAACGATATGGAAGAGAATGCGTAGTAATGGTGGATCTCACGGGAACAAAGAGCGAGAGGAAAACCTAGACTAAGCGGTAGGCAGCTCTGTAACCTTCTTCTTTGTAAGCACTCTGTTCCTATTGCTGTTTATATGTAATCGATAAGTTTGATTGTTTTGGTGCTAATAGATTTGTATAGAACGTGAATCAGCATCAACTTGGGAGTCGAGCTTTGTTGTTCCTCTCCTCCCATAACTAATATCAATTCCTTTTATGGTGGTGATATTAAAATTATGTACTATTTTTAATACAATATGAACTAGTTTTGGTAACTCACTTTTGATGCTTCTGAACTTGGATTGGTTATAAAACATCTAATACAGTCCTCTTGGCTCTGGATTATGATGGAAATGAAATTACCAAGAAGGCTTAAAGATTTGCAACTTTTTGATTCTATGTACACTGTTGAATTAAGAAGCTGAAGTCAGTGTAACTCACTTTGGTCTGATGTTGCAAGTTTCAGGTTTAGTGCAGATCAAATTTTTAAGAACAAGATGTTTGTTAAAGCAGACCAAGACCAGGGCTCACCAATTGATCTTGCTGCAAGTTGGAGGGCTTATCAGGTCAGGAGAATCCTAAGCCTTACATATTATACAATGTTCCATTGGATATTATTCTATTTAACAACAAAAATAAAAATAAAATCAAATTTGCCAGCATTTTATTATCACTCACCATCGAGCCTTTGATTAAAAAATGGATTGGATAAGTCTCCTTTAGAGTATTAGTCATTCTGCATCATTGCTCTTTGATTTATGTTCTTCCTCAGTACATATTCTAATCTTCGTTATTTTTAGTGATGTGCAATGCAAAATTATATGTAGATTATCACATCCTTTGTTTTCAACATTGGCAAATAAATAGTCCTGGTGATTTTGCCCAAGTTTCTGACTGATTAAAAGTAGTAAATAATTTGAGGAGTTTTGAGTTTGTTTCATCAACTTGCAGGTGACCAGGGTAAATTGAGGTTGTTTATTTATTTTCCACAGTTTCACATTACACATGAAGGAGGTTAGCTCATCTTAAATTTAGAAACTCATTTATATATATTTGGAAATGAATACACAAATTTCGCTGTTTTAAATTTGAAGGAAAACATATAGAGCAGTGGCATTCCCAATCGTGTGCAGTACTCAGTAGCTCATTTTAGGCAATGTGCAAAACATTTATATTAAAAAGTTCTCTAATTTATCCCTTTAAAATTTTAGAATTAAATTTTGTGTCATATTTCCTTTCTCTCATCTGTTGTGTACTACAAAAAGAATGTAAAATTTTGTGGCTCACTCCTAATTCAGAAAAAGAAAAGAAAACTACCATTTCCAATTGAAGCTTCTCTCTAATTGGTAGAATTTACCCATTTTCATTTCTGAAATTTTGATTTTTACGAACCTACTGGCTGGATTTCTACATATTTATTTATACAACTCTACGGTTCATATATGTGGTAATTAAACAAGTTGTTAAATATCTGCAATTTGAGAATAACCCAAAACTATATCATTTTAACAACCTTCAATCTTATTACAAGGGGAATAATCATTTATTTTATCCTATGTAAACCCTTCAAATACAAAAGCTATTATATTATATATATACCTTCGCCTGTTATTGATCTATCTCTTTGGTAAATAACCAACTTCTCCAGCCATTACTCACCTAGAATGGGAAAAATTCTTAACTGATGATGATGAAATGTAAAAAGTTCATGTTCAAAAATGACTCTACAATGCATTATACAAATGAAAACACCACTTACCCATGGTTCATTTCTTGGGAGGTCTGTTGCAGTTTGCAGGTGCCCACCCGATCTGCTGTCTCTCGTTGTCATAGACTACGATCTTATCGAGCAAAGAGATATCTGTAACAAATTTGGGGGAAAAAGAAGTTGAAATGTTGGAAGAAAGCATGTAAAAGAAAAGAACCTGAAAGTGGTTCTTTGTTGATCCAACAGTGTTTCTCATCTTACCTCCAATCACATTAACATTTCCCAATCCTACTTGGGACCCATTCAAAATCCCAAAGCACACATTACCAAATTTCTGTATAAGAAAGAAGAGTCTTAGATATGGTGATGATACTCTCGATATATGGTTTCAGTTTAACTATGGATATATAGATAAATGAGATGTTTGGGAACTTACACTGATAATTAGATAAGCTTCAGGCGGTATTTGAAACTGAACATTCTTGGAGTCGGTAAAGCTCAGGGCCAGAGGCTTGAAAAAGTTTCTCACATCAACCACAGATCTGAAAGCTTTTGTGCCTTTCCAGCATACCGGAAGGGTTTTATCTTTAGGTTCATCAGACAGAGGCTTTCCTTTCAAATCATTCTTCAACTGGGATGTGATTAGAGATTATTAGTTTCTTTCTAAAACACATTTATGAGTGTAAAAAGATTTCTTGATTCCATCTTACCAAGTTGAGTACTGCTCCATAGACTTGGGAGTTGAAATAAGTATAGGAGCTTCCACTGTCAAAGGTCAGGGTAAGGCCTCTAATTCCAGCAGCCTTCCCACCAAAATAGACCTCTGCAGGTCCAGATGAGTACCTCCTGAGAATCAGATCAAATACAAGTTCAGTCACATTTAAGAAGCAATGATCAGTTACAACAGTTGTCTGATTGCTCAACGCTCACTGACCCTCCAGGAGAGGGCATTATCGGCGTCCACGACATCCCTGAAGATGGAACAAGGTCTCCTCCAAAGAATAAAAATCCTCCCCCTTGTCCGCTGAGGCAGTGGCCGACTACGTTACGTACATGACCGAGAGCGCTTAGCTGCGATGTCATGGTAGCTTTACCACTTCCAAGGCCCAGGACACCAGCTGTTGAACCACCATGCTTCTGATCATATCCACAACTGCAGACAAGAGAACCAGAGGAAAGAAAGATTAAGGACCAAAAAATTACTGTTGGCATAGCCAAACCAAGCAATCAACTGATATGTTATATACACACCCAAAGCCCAGATTGGGAGCAAAGACAGAGCCATTAGTGAGTCTCATGGGAAATAAATCTCTGACCAATACGCCAATGGAAGATCCTTGGTCAGCATATTCAACATCATAGTCACATTGATCATTAGGGTTCTTGCAAGGGACCTTGCCTGGGAAAAAAAGAGCCGAACACAGCGGTTCTGCACAACGCACAGCGTTGCTGTGTGGTCTATATTGCTTATCACGAGGCTGCAGAGTCATGGATGGCACAAAATTACGGTAGAAGAAAAGAAAGCAACTATCGAATAAGCCATCAATTTGGATCAAACTAACCAGAGTACAACCAGTACAGGGGGCATCGCATTGGACCCAAGTGAGGTCACTCCCAGTGTCAATATCGAGCTCAAAAATCTTCGGCGGATTGCCAATGTTGACAGATACCGTAAAATGGCTGCAGATTCGAAGCCAGAATCGAGGAAATTTAGACGAGAGACGAGAGAGAGAATCAAAATTAAAGATGGAGCAAGAATGTAGAATACAAACCCTAGAGGATAAACGTTTCCTTTGATCGGAAACGCAACCGACGAAGCAAAACGATTGCTCCCACTCCCCGATTGCATCCGGTCTTCGAGGGAAAACTTGTCGGAGAAGGAAACGGCGAAAATCGCGAAGAGAATGGAGACAGGAAACAGAAGCCGGCTATGCATTTTGTGGTCCGGCAACAGAGTTCGATTCCGCCTTCTCCTTTGGCCTTGAATCAGAAGAATCTCAGAGCAGAGAGGAGTGTAATGACGGATTTGGAGTATGAAAAAGGACCTATATATATATATATATATATATAGAGAGAGAGAGAGAGAGAGAGAGAGAGAGAGAGAGAGAGAGAGAGATGGAAATTGGAATTAGAACTCAGAGCGAAGACTTTGAGGTCAGAAGCAGACGCAGAGGAAGACGCTGAGCAGAGAGAAGAGAGTTTAAGCGCGTTCAAAGCGCGGGACGGGGACGCTATTGGTCTTCAACCTTTCTTCAAAAGGTCCAAAGTACCCCTACCTAGTTTATTTTTTATTTTTTATTTTTTTTGACAATACATGAAATGGAAAAAAAAAAGAATAAATAAAATAACCTGAATGCACGTGAGGAGACACCATCTTGGTGACTATTGACATTTTAATTTTGTTTTTAACCTGATTTTTTTTCTTATTGCAATTTCAGGTACATGTACATTCAATATATTTCTTCAAATGATTTTATATCAGTTGCATGTGAATTTGTATTGAAATTTTGAAAATAAAATCAAAATTGTCACTTTTTAATAATACTAAGACCGAAACTAATATTTTGAAGGTAGATAGACCAAAATGAACATTTTGAAAGTATAGAGATTAAATATAAAACATAGGGAACAAAATAGTATTTTAACCTAGTGGTGTTTATCGTTTGACTTTAATTATTTTATAATGATGTTTATGCTCCTGGCACTTGACACGATAGTGTTCATTCTAGAATTGGAATTTGATAATACTATCACTTATTGTTTATACCCGTGCTATCACTTAGTTTTTATGTTTGTTCTTGTTTTTGTTTTGTTGTTGTCATTCTTATTCGTGTTTCTACTTCATTTTATTGTCATGTCTCTCTGATCTTATTATGTCTCGATCGAGATCCAATATTTCTCTTGTTATTTGCTCACAAACAAAATAATTTACGCTCTCTTTTTTAAATCTTGAATCAAGTGGTAAGCAAAGTATTTTTATATAATTCTCTTAGTTAGAGGTTAAACTTATAGAAAAAAAGACACATTTACTCTCCCAAGAGACCTATAACTACATAACAGTTTCACTATAAATTTTCAATCTCATCAAATTTGACTAAACTTTAGATAAATATTGTAATTTTTACTCTATTTAATTTCTACTAATAAAAAACAACTAATTTTAACAAAAAAAAATGTAAAAACCTACGAAGGTTCACGAATTTAATTAAATCAAATCCGATAGAAAATAAAGTTTGATTAATATATAAAATTAATCATGAAATAACTCTACCAAAACTAAAAAAATTATATTAAATTAATCATGAAAGAACCCCGCCAAAACTAAAAAATTTCAACAACAAGAAATACCAATCTAATATTGTTTTTGTCTAAATATTATCAATTCCACACCAAATATATGTTTTATCTTTTAGTATCTAAAGTATATATATTTTCTTTTTCTATAATCTCTATTTAGCTTTTGATCCTTTGAACTTAAAAATTTTGTGATTACCATTATTAATAAAGGTGCATATAATATTCACAATATCAAGTTAACGTACGTGATGATATCAACACACTATTTATAAATTATTATTACTTACTTTGCAAGAGCTATGTATGGAATAGTAATTTTAAAAAAAATAATACTATTAATAGCACTGAATATTATTAATTAAATTTCACTTCCATGAATAATGTTGAAATATTGGGTTTTTTTTTCAACCAACAATATTATTGTGACTTATGATTAGAGGCCGATGATAGGCATATATTTATAAAAATAAATTAATTTTTATTTTAATAAAAGTACTTAATTTTTTATTATTTTTTTAAGGTCTAACCTATTGTGGAGTTACAAAACCAATTGCATTTTTTCTTCTTATTTTTCAATAATTGTTTCAAGTTTTAATTAATTTCATTAAATTTTTAATATTCCGAACTTGGCAAATGGCAAATATGAATCAAACATTTGAAAATAGCTAAAGAATTTTTTTTTTCTTTTTTTCTCAATAAAAAAAGAACTATTTTTCTTTTTAAATTGTTATTGACTAATAATAAGTTTGAATTAGTCATCACTAACTACACAATATGTCTCATCATACAAATTAATAAGTACCAAATTATTGTAAGAGTTGTCAATTTTAGCTTAAACAATTCCTAAATTTCTCATCAAAATACATTTCGCTTCCACTTTTGTAATTTATTTTATTTTGGTTGGTATCTCTCTTTATATTAATAGGATATTATCTTCCTATTTTTGATCCACATGATTAATAAAATTTGGGTTCTTCACTTTAAAACTCAAATTCAAATTTCTCAAATAGCTTATACACCAATTTTATACGATTAAAAATAATCTAATTATATACTTTTATTCCAATCCAACCCATGAGATAATTTTTTTTAGATAATAGAAAGTATTTTAAAATAACCCTATTTTAGTAAATTCACAACCTCTTTGAGATTGAACAGTTGTATGCTTTTAGACAATCCAACTAACTTTTGAAAATTGAAAAGTACTTTTTAAAAAAGAGAAATCTTTATCTTTTTAATTCATTTTAAAACAAAAAAAATATATATGTCGATGTATTAAATTTAATATCAAGATTCAGTCTCCGGTTCAGATTTCATCGACAAAGCCTTCCTAATTTACATCTTTGTTGAAAGAATTTCTTTTGTAATTTCTTACGTAAAAGATTCTCTGGATCTCTGCCTAAACAAGAAAATTGTTGATAAATTTTCAAAATGACATTTTCTTTTGATCCAATTTTTGTTTCTCCTTATCAGTAAGGAAAGACAGAAAAATTTCAGGGTAGTAAACATTCTCGAGAATTTCTCTTACATCAAATAATTTATAAAAGAATAATAATAACAAGGAGTAAGTATTTTATGTGTCCGCCGAAGCGAGTTCAGTGGTAATTAGTATATATCTCCAAACCAAGAGACTATGAATTCAACCCCCACCTCCACATGTTGTACTAAAAAAGAAAAAAATATTTTATGTGTCCAAACTTTAGAGATTAAAAAAAATAATGAATTTTATGTGAGCATGAGTTTGAATTCCACCGTAATTTCAATTTTAATACAATTTTAATACTAAGCAGGATAATATTATAATCATTAATATCTATAAGAAAACAGGTTTAAATTTAATTTTGGTACTTCAACTTATTTCATTTATATATACATGCATAACGTGGACATGTATCCAAACTACGTTAAGTTGAAAATCAACATTGAGTAAATCAAAATAATATAATATAATAAGGATAAAAAAGAATTATCATCGTTCAAAAAGTTAAAAAATTCTCTCAACAATTTTTTTTATGTCTAGAGACCAAAATATAATATTATAGTGTACATAGTCTAGAGACGAAACGAGATTTAATTAAGCTTAAAAGAAAGAAATGGATTGGTTGGAGATAATGGATAAATACAATCAAATTAACATCAAATAAAGAAAACAAATTTTTTTTTTTTTTTTCATTTGCCTCTTAGGACGGTGCCACGTCATCATCTTCTTGTTAACTGAATACCCAAATAAAAATGCAGTTTCAGAAAAGCTTGGTTATTTTGTTAACCTTCACAATTTTTGTGGACGCAGTAAAAAAAAACATCTATTTTCTTTTTTCTCTCTCTTTCTCTCTCTCTCTCTCCTCCTCCCTCTCTCATGGTGGATCTTCCCCAGGCTATTGGCATCTCCTTTCGAAACTTCTGCAAATCCTACAAATCTTTCTTCAAAAAATGGCATTCTAAGATCAAATCTTCGAAAAAAGATTCCGATGTTGATCAGAAGCGCGAAGGTTCGTCCGACGCCATTGATGGACCTTCAAAGGTACGCCACCTCCATTCTCTCAATTCTTTCCGCGGAATATCACGCCTCTTGTTCAGTTCAATCAGGATTACAAGTTTTTGAGGATTTCGAATTCATATATTCGTCGTTCTTTCTTTTCATACCGATTTCCGGATCCTTGATCTGCGGATGATTTTGATCGATCGAACAAGCCCTAATTTGAAGAAATTGACCAAAAAAATTCACTCGATCGCGTAACGGATTTTTTTTCAGGATCGTGAAGACGTTAAACGCGAAGGACGAGCGACGGCGACGGCGACGGCGACGAAAGGCGTTCCGAGCTTCAGATATGGAGGGAGCATGAGAGAGAATCATGATCCGCTGAGTTTCAGGCCTCGAAGCTACGACAGTGGATTCTCTCTGTCCCGGAATGCGAGTCGGAAAAGTCAAAATACGCATTCGTCGTCGCCTCTGTTTCGGAGCGTTAGCCGGAGAAGCACGGAATCGTCGGTGCCGTCTCGGGTCAGCAGCGGGCGGAGGAGCGTCGACTTGGTGTCGTCTCCTCCGTTACTGTCGAAAAGCGGTAGCCGGAGGAGCACGACGCCGATCATGTTCTCAAATTCCTCCGGCGTGCTGAAGCCGGCGCCAATCGAGAAGCAGCTCGAATGCACGCTGGAGGAGCTCTGCTTCGGATGCACCAAGAAAATCAAAATCACCAGAGACGTCCTCTCCAACACCACAGGGTTCGTTCCTCTCCTTACTAAACCCTAACGCCTATTTCCCTTTCAATTTCATATATAAGATTTTCCTTTTTCTTTTTACATTTTCACTTTTCTATATAATACAAATACATTCTTTCCTAAATTACAAAAATACCTCTCAAACTTCGATATACACACACTACACAACTAAGGTTTGGTCTCAATTTGATACATTGATATTTCTCTAAAAGTTAAATTAAAAAATCATAAAATATTTAAATTAACAAATAAATATTTTCATATTTTTAAATAAGTTAAGAAATAATTAATATTGATATTAGGTATATATGGATGATATTGTTCATATTTTGTCAATTTTTTGTACTATAATGGAAATGTTGATTTACCTCTCATTCGATTGGCAAACCGCGACGGATATTTAAAACCATGCACACAACGGATATTTAGAACCACCATGCACCCAAGACAGCTACAAAATTTTATATATTTCTTTTTCTTTTTACATTTTCACTTCTTTTATATATCTATATATATATAATCTTTAGTTAAATTACAGAAATATACTTCAATTTTACTCTTGTTTCAAAAATACCCTCATCTTTTCAAAGATTATCCTAAACATCAGGTAGTTGAGATAGAATACGATGTGGCAGTTATATTTCTTATTTGTCCTCTTCGTTATTATCTACCTAATTTTGTTTTATTCCCTCTTTTTAAGTCTCTACCTCTCTTTTCAGGCAGTGGTTTCGACGTTTTGGATGTTTGATGAATGATATTTTTGGAAATTGAAATATACATATTATAAGAAATAACTTTATAAAATATAACATTATACAACCTCTAGGGATGGCAATTGAATTTGGAAAAGATAAAATAAAATAAAATCTGAGAGATTGTATTGGGTGGCGATTGACAGGCAAACGACGGAGGAAGAGGAAACGCTGACGATAAACGTGAAGCCGGGGTGGAAAAAGGGGACGAAGATAACATTCGAGGGGATGGGGAACGAGAGGCCAGGGAGTTATCCAGCCGACATGTCGTTCGTGATTGCTGAGAAACGACACGCGTTTTTCAAATGGGAAGGGGACGACTTGGAGATGACGGTGGAGATTCCGCTGCTGAAAGCTCTAACTGGGTGCACAATTTCGGTGCCGCTGTTGGGAGGAGAAGCAATGAGCTTGGAGATAGACGACGTCGTATCGCCTGGCTACGAGAGGATCATCCAAGGCCAAGGTATGCCAAATCCTAAAGACGATGACAAGAGAGGCGACTTGAAAGTGAAGTTTCTGGTTGAATTTCCAACCCAATTAACTGACCAACAACGATCTGATGTTTGTCGAATTTTAGAGGATGGTTGTGTCTAATTTCTAGTTAACGAATTTTATTTAGGAATTAACTCAATTCTTCTTTTAATTTGTTTGTTTGTTTTGCTTGTAATGCATGTCTTTTGGTTTTTGAGCGAAAAGTGTGCAGTCTTTGCATTTGATTTGATTTATTTGAGGTAGAACAAGCTTTAATCTATCTTTTTTTTTTTTCTTTTTCATAGATAGAGCGTCGGCTTTTGTTTGGGACGCTCGTTTCTGACCCTAATCCTAACTCTCTTTGGTTTCGTATGACTTTTAACCCTCTTTTATATTTCAAAGTTGACCCTATTGTATTTTGATCTTTGATTCAATCGTAGATTCTTTTGGTAATTTAAAGTGGATTTGGTAACACTCTCTCTTTTTTTCTATTTCTTAGAAAATTTAAACATTTGATAATTATTTCGGTTTCTCCATTTCTATTTTTAAAAAATATTTTCAAAGTTGTTATGCAATTTTATAAGCAACAAAATAAGTTTATTGTTCTCATTTTCAATTTTTTTTTCAAAAACATAAATGAAAATATTATTCTATCACTCTGACTCATTTAATTTTCATATAAAACTTTTATTTTTTTTATTTAAAATTGTAGAAACCATAAAGGACTACCAACCAAATATGAGAAACAATTACTAACACAATTCTATTTTTCTTTACTAAAAAATTAAAAAAAAAAAGGGTTTTATAAATAAAAAAATTCTCGCACGGACTCTATAAGATTGATAAAAATAACTAAAATAAATGTACAAGTACATAGAATTGTCTTTATGAGAGAATTCCTCAATGGGAGATTCTCCAAATCGAAAGATAAGGCAAAGCCGAAGACAAGGAGAATTCTTGGAAGGTCAAGGGAGCTTCCCAACCACAAATAACTTTAATCCATTTATAGAATTTATTTCTTGAACGTACTTCTAAATTCTCTTAAATGAGTATACAATAAAAAATCCCAAACACTATTGATACTGAAAATATGGCACATTTTAAAATGAAGAGGAGAAAAAAGAAAAAAAAAATCGTAAAGCAGCACAGGGGAATAAGACATAAATAGGGAAGATGTTGAGAGAGTATGAACATGCTTCTTATATTACCATCCAAGCAGAGCTCGAATGATTCCCAGTATGCCACCACCAATAAGAGCCTTGAGAATTCTCAACTTTCCCTTTGTGTATGGCGGGTATCTAATCGGTGCATCGCCTGCGAAACTCCGATAAAGGACAGCCTTCTTATGGGTAAATGCATCAAAAGAGAACTTCCCATGGTAGGCTCCCATTCCACTCTCTCCAACTCCTCCAAATGGTAGTGTCTCAACAGTGAGCTGCACATATGGTCAAAAAAATTTGGAGTCTCTTTAATATTTGCGTTGCTAAATTCGTCGAAGAAACATATCAAACTAGAAGGCAACGAGCATAAAGACCAAATCTTTGATTTTGAGTTAAAACATGAACAATCACTGAAGATTTCTCCCATGACAACAAAAGTGATCACAGAACCTTTTTTTTCTATGTAATACTTAGAATCTCTCTTACTATTTTGTGACTACCAAATTCAAATCTGGCAATTATCGCTTTATTTTTATTTTGATGAGAAAGGGAGCTTTCCTTGAGACAGATGTTATACTTTTTCTTACTAATCAAAGACATTCTTCTTTTTTGGTATGGTATCTAAATTATTGAGACAGATATTATATTTTATTATATTCTCTTGTCTATGGTATCTAAATCCCACACATTCTATAAGACATCAATTCTAAATGAGGATATTACCATTTAGACATATATGCTATGCAGAGAATTTTCTGACCAATCAAGTTATACTTCTAGTGCGTATTGGATTATAAGCTGAAGAAGAATTCTTACATGTAAGGTGGTGTCATTGATAACCACACCCCCTGCAGAGATACAAGCCACAAACCGTTCCTTGAGCTTTTTGTTGTTGGTAAATAAATACGCCGCAAGTGGCTTTGTGCCCGAGTTCACTATTTCGAAGCTGTCCTCCACTTTGTCAACCTGCTCCAGCCAAAAAAAACGAAGATTGTAAGTACTAAAAAGAGCAACTTCCTAATATTAGCAGTTTCAGTCAATCATATGACAACGACCTGCCTTTTTCCTGTATAACAGATACAGTGAATTCATTTGTTTGTGCAAATTATTGATGTCAGAAGTAGTTAAGGCAATAAATTCCCTTAGCTCGATGAAAAATATTTACTGTTTATTGTAAATAAAAGATTTCACACTTGAGAGGGGTAAATAGAATCAATAAACTTTGTCCTATGCAAAAGAAGTTTGCAGAATTAATTAACATCAAGTCTCTTTGTTATCTTTTTCCTTATTTTACCTGATCAAAACAAAGCTATTAAAAGAAGTGGAGCAGTCTATTAGTTTTACCGTGAGAATGGGAAGTAAGGGACCAAAGATTTCCTCCGTCATAATCAGAGAGTCTCGAGGGACATCCAGTAAGATGGTGGGAGAAATCTGTCTGCATCATGGAGAAGATAACGCTTTTTAGCAGTTAACATTTAAAAGATGAACGAACAAAATAATAGGCCGGTGATATAATTTAACATACAATTTGCTTTTGTCCTTTTCACCTCCATGCACAATCTTGTCAGAAACTTTATCATCAGCTAAGAGCTTTGACAAGCGATCAAAGTGGTTAGCATTCACAATGCGAGACAAATCTTTGGATTCCAGCTGATTCTTTCCATAAAATATCTCCAGTTCTTGTTTCAGAGACTCCACCTAGAAATATGAACAGAAATTTGAGGATAACGAAACCGAGCCCATGCAACGAACCAAAGTTATTTTTGCGTAAGAAAGCGTACTCACCAATTTTGGAGCAAATTCTTTCGTAGTTATGATATAGTCAGGAGCAATGCATGCTTGTCCATTGTTACAACCCCACTTACCAACAATAATCCGCCTACATGCAACCTTTGACAAACATATACATTTTAATTTGTATAAGATGCTAGCAACTAAAGATATGGTAGAGCATTAGTAGCCAATTGAACTCAACTGGAAACAAAATGATGCTACGAGGAAGGGATAAAAAAAACAGAACTTTACCTGTAAATTGATTCCTGAATCAACTACTACTGGAGACTTTCCTCCAAGCTCTAAAACAACTGGTGTAAGGTGCTTAGCAGCAGCAGCCATCACTATACGTGCCACTCTTCCATTGCCTGCAAGTTAAGAAGCCAGCAGTTTAAGATAGAGAAGATATGGGCAAAAGGAGATGGGGGAAAAGCCATCAGAAACCATCCTATATTTAATGCCAGAGGTTATTTTTATCAACATCGTACCACCACCACGTCTTCTTCAGGATTCCAAAAGATTTTTATAACTAGAATTCTTAAAGATAGATGTGACAGGCGAACTAATTTCAACACCTGAAGCCAAAACTGAAAAACTTACTACTTCTGACCCTTACAGGCAATTTTATGAATAAAGGAACTACAAGGTCATCTCTAGAAACTGGGTCGATCTATCTTTATTCATTTTATTATTAATGTCACTCAAACCTGCAGTGACTCCTCAAGTCTCGAGCCATTGAATTTATCATACATACCTACCTTGGTTCAATAAGGATAAATATACATGAACTGAAAGCACAAAGAAGTTGAAGTATAAAGTAGACTGCAAGCAGACAGTATTATCATATACTTATATTAAACAAACTTGCCCTTTTATTGTCAAGCTCAAGGGAACAAACCTGTGTAAAATATCTTGTCCCACTTTTGCTCCAGCAAAGCGGAAGTTTCAGAAACAGCACCCTCAACAACTTTTACACAAGAGGTATCCAAATATTTCCCTACAAGCTTTGCCATTAAAGATGATGTTGCTGGAGAGATTTCTGACGGCTTTAGAACCACAGTATTACCAGCTGCAATTGCTCCAACAACTGGATCAAGTGATAATACTGGAAAATGTTGACAACAAAGGTTAGTGTCTACAAGACCGATTGTTAAGATAGTTTTAAGGCTGTATATGATTTTCAATAAGTTATGACAAAAACACGTATTGATTCTGACTTACAAAATGGATAATTCCAAGCAGAAATGATAAGAACAACACCCAATGGTTCTGGTACAATTGCAGCAGACGAAGGAAATGTGGTCACTGAAGTTTTAACCTGCAATGATAGAGCATAACGTTATCAACAGTCAGGTAATGGGAAATACAAAATATATATCAGACTAGATGTCCCATCGGCAGAAAGTTTGTAATACCAAATACCTTTTCTGGTGTCATCCAACGCTTGAGTTCTTTAAGTGCCAATTTACACGCATTTTTTACCATAGCTATCTGCATAACAAGTCACAGTCAGTTTAAAGGGGAAAAAAAACTTCAACTGATCTCAGAATAAATGTAGCTGAAGAACCTTCATAAAATAATTAACTGTAATAGGGGAAGTTGGTGGATCTTCCTCTCGGCATAATAGTTTGAACAATCAGCGATTTATGACCATTGCAGTCTATGAAAATAAGGAAAACCAAAACTAGTGGAAGTTCTAAATGACAGTAATGGAAAAAAAGGATCTCAAAATGCATAGGTGGTAGGTATCCAATATCGTATAGTTGTCTAAACCCATGATCTTTCAATATAATAGCAAGTCAAACGGTTGCAATATGAATTGAGTTTCAATATTTGGCATTAGTATTTTGTAACTTCGACTAAAAATAAATTATTTAACTTTGTGGAAGATACCCAATATAGCTTAAAGAAGTGCAGCGCCACATGACCATACCCCAAAAATAAACTATATGTATAGTTCTTCATATTGTGCAGAGAACCCAAACAACTTGACCAGAAGCCATAAAGTTAACTAAGAAGATGCATGAATGCATGGGCGCTTTATTGCTTTTCTTTTCATAAGAACAGATCATTATTAAACCCTGGCATAGAAATACACTTCTCAAGCAAACTTCTACTCTTAGTAGAAACGCCAACTTAGAACACAACACAACCCTCCTAGTTATGCAAAATAAGTAGAACAAATCTATTTGTTTCTCCCTCACGTCAGTCAAATTCATACTTTTCTTATTCCTCATAGCTTCTGAATAATGAAAAACAAGATGTCAAGTTGTTTGCCAAATGATGCCCAAGCGGCTAATAATATAAACCTAGAAAGATTTGAAGTAAACTTACCATCTAAAAAATCCATTCTAAATATACCTTGTAACACTTAAATTGTCACCGGTCATGTATTAGGAATTTTCTGTCAACTTTCTAGTCAAACGAAAAAATTCTCTTCCATTTCCTACGATTAGTACCAGTACTTTCTTCAAGGCAAATAAGAGAAGACAGGCAAAAGAAAGCAATAGAAAAGGCAGGAAGAAATGTGGTATCAAATTCCAAATAATTCCAATGGTCATGAATAAAGAGAGAGTTCTACTTGACAACTAACAAGACAGGAGTCAGGACATGAGCCTAATAAATGAGAAGCTATAACTTTGAAATCCGGTTGAAGCAAAGAGTAAGCTTTAATAAATATCTTCCATTAATGGCGGACTGGTGGGTTAACTTCAATGATCACGTGGTCCCACACAAACTGCGACTGCGACTTCGACTGCGATGCACTACTGTGTTTGGTGGATGTGAGAAAGGCACAAAGAATTTTAAGGATTGGGCATTTAGACTTAGACAACGGAACAGAACATTTATGTTCAACATCCACACCAGATTTATGAATCTGACGAGACTCTGATACCAAAACCATTAACGATTCGAGCTATTGCTTCAAAAAGGACAAAAGCGAACAACAGTGAGGGAGATTAAGAACGGAGACCTCGTGAACGATGGATTCCAAAACAGGCTTGGAGAGGTCGGAGCGAAGCGCATCACAGATATCTTCCTCATGGTCAACGCAGAGCTTATGGAGGCTCTGAAGCTGCGACACTCTCCATTCGTAGCTCCTAGTCTTGCCGGAGGCAAAACTACCTCTCAGCTCCTTCACCGCCACCGCCGCGTCGAACACCTCCTCCTCCGACATCGCCAGACGAACACCACCGCAACCGCCGCCGCCGACGACTATCAGTATACACAGAGAGAGAGAGAGAGAGAAGGAGAGAGTTGTAGGAATTGGAATGAGCGATTCTTGTACTGTATTATAGCTTCAATCGGAGGAGATATCGATGATCCGTTCGTGGTCTCTGGATTTCGGGGAGCAATCAAATCGTTGAGACAGAGGATTCACACTCTCGTATACTGCACAATTCCGCATTCGCCATCACACAGCTCAGCGATTCTCTCCATCAGCATACAAGAAAGCGCGTCTACCCCACGCGCTGCGTATGCGGTATGGGGCGTTTTCCTTTCTGTCCACGCCTTGCCGCTGGAATGGACGTTACTCTGGCGCTTTTGAATAGTTTATTATTTCTCAGATTTGTATTTTGTAAGGTTTTTATATTACAAATTTGGTATTAATTTTAAAAGTTTATTATTGCGTCTAAACTTTGTTCTTTTCACTTGTTTTTTTTTTTTTTTACTCGATTTTAAATTTTAATATAATAAACTAACACAATTAATCAAATAAAACATAGAAACATAGAAAGTTACCTCTTGTGTGCATCCAAAATAACTCTATGATATTAAATTTACCTGCGAACTCATTTTTCGTAAGTCCTTTACTATTTACGATTACTCTTATTGACCATTAAATCAAACTACGAACAAAATTAATTTGAGACTCCTAAAACCATACAAGTCAAATTTAAATTAAATAAAAGTACATAGACTAGATGTGTGTTTAGAAGTGATTTTGGCTATGTCAAAATCACTGGTGGAGCATGTTTGACAAATTAAAAAATTAATTTTAGGAAACATTAAAATCACTCACGTAAATAGAAAGAGCCAAATTAAAACTATGTTCGAGCGATAGGAGCTTGATTTATTATTTAATTATTTTAGAATTAGTTTGAATCATTTTTTTGACAATTGATTTTATTTTATATATTTTTTATTGACCATAAATCATACGATGATAAAGACTAATTTGAGACTTCTCCTCAAACCCAAAGAATCAAATTTAAACTAAATTAAAACTTTTTAAATTATTGGCATCAAATTAAAACTATCTTTGAATTAATTATTTTAGAATTAGTTTGATTCATTGTTAACAATTGAATTTTTTCAGTACATCTCTAAACTTTAAAATGTTTGGATTATGTAGTCTTTCAACTTTGATGTTTGTTTTATTTTAGTTTTAACCTTCAAATATAATTTGTATTAATTTCTAAACTTTATATAGATTTTTTATAGTCTTCAACATTAATTGTTCGTTGGTTATTCAACTATACAATTTATTTTCAAATCCCATAAAATACTTGCTCAACTATTAACCATTCTAGATATCTACATATTAGGTGAATAGAATAGGTGAGTGAATAAAGCATCTGCTTTTTGTTTATATTATACCAAATAAACCATTTAATTTGATACTAAATCTTCGTATATCACATAAGATTGATAACCTTTTTTTTTCCTTTTTTTTTATTAGTAACATATGATCGTAATTTAACAACACATTATTGCAGGGAAAAAAAAAAACTCAACAACCTATACCAGAATGACCAAAATATATTATGCTTAGTTAATCTCCAACGCAGTCAAATTAAATCAGTTATATTATTTAAACCAAAAAATCAATTTAATATAACATTCCAATTAAAAAAATTCAATAGAATATTTCTTAGAATATCAAGCTCACATCAAATTCAACCACCTATTAAGTCCTATTATAACTTAATGTAAACTTTAATTAGTCATTTATACGCTTTAACTATGAAGATGTCGAACTCGAAAGAAGAAATTAGATGTATGTTGTATTAATATTGATGAAGTTCCCACTCAAAATCAATTGGCAATAAGAGGAATAGTCCATATATATTATAAACTATTGTAAGGTCTTTTTTATTTTCAAGATGGATCTAACGAGCTAAGTTTAAGTGATTATTGCAAATAAATATAAGTATACAAAATTTGAATTGTCAATTTTTTTTTTTTTTGTTGTTTTGAACTTTCAAAAAGAAGTTCTCAATCATATAATAATCTGATTATTAATTTTTATATGGACAAAATATAGGCGTTTTATGGAAATTTCCTACGAAAATTGAAGTAAAGAAATAATTATAATAAATCAGAACAAACGACGAAATTTGGAGGGAGAGAGAAAGTGGGTAACCTCATGAGCAAAGGCTTCGAACTCGGGTTTGGAAAGATCCGAATGGATGGCGTCGATGATTGCGCTCTCGTTTTCATCCATCAATCTGCACAAATTCTTCAGTTGCGTCACTCTCCACTCGTACCTCCGTGTCTTGCCGGAATTGTAACTCTCCCTCAGCTCCGCCGCCGTTCTCTCCGCCGCTTCTCCGTCGAACACCGCTTTCTGCTCCGCCATCGCCGCGCGCTTACAGATAATTATCTTATCAGATATGGAATTTTCCCCCAAGGGATATTGCGACTTATAAAGGATGGGAGAAAGAATACAAAATCAATTAGGAAAGGGAAAAAGTAATCAGTTTTGTTTTGGCATAGGGCCCATACTTTACTTTCTTCGGTTTTATCGTAATCTAAGTTTTAAAATTAGAAAAAAATAATAATAATTACTGTATTTTGTGCCTAAAATTTTGAATAAAAAAATAACCAGTGAACACTTCTATCGTGTTTACCTTACCTCGATCAAATATTGACAAATGAGAAGTCAACGCTTAAGTTTTTTTTAGTACAACAATTTGGTTTTATGGGAATCAAACTTCCGATCTTCAGAGAAAGAGTATATGTCAATTATCGATTATCGGTCAAATAACTAATGTTGTGTCACTTTTTCATCGTTAGATGGACTTAACTTATAGACTTAATTAATTTACAAATCATTAAAGATTTATTTTTTAAATATTTCTTCAATTTTATCAAATTTTTAAAAATAAACTAAGAATAGCTGCATAATAAACGATAATGACAACTTTCTATACAAAATCCAGAGGTACGTAATATTTGAAATTTGAAGAGCTAAATTAATTTAAAAGTCTACCGTAATTATTAAAAAATTGATGTTATATTAAATTTAAAAAAAAAATCATTAAATAATCACTAAATGTATACGAAACCTTTGCGATTGGATCCTTTCCAACTTTATTTAATTTTAGGAAATTTGACAGTGTTGTTTGAATTTATTTATTAATTTATTGGGGCTACTTAACATTGACTTCTAAACTAAATAAGTTAACTCATCGTTGTAAGGAATATATTTATTTTTATCCTCTTATATACATAGCATTTGTCAAAGCGAGCATAACTTAACGATAATTGACATATATCTTCAACTACGAGATTGTGAGTTCGATCCCCACCCCCACATATTGTATCAAAATATATATATACATACATACCTAGCATTTATATATTACGACTTTAACTTTTCTTAATAGATATGAAGATGAAAAATTGAACCGTCAAGAAACAAGCATGTCTTAACTATTGAACTAAGCTCGTATTGACAACTTTAATTTCGTTTAATTTAGTCATTACAATTAAATATATATATATATTCTCGATGGTTCGTGATGTTATATTATTTAAGAAAACAAAAGGATAAGCTACAAAAGATAATCAAAGAATGAGAAAGAAGAAGAAACATCTTTAGACAAGGTAATGATCAATCATTTTCAAATGGTTGTAAGAATTGGCAAACCTATGAATCTATCCCTTTGCTATATTAATGGGAAGATTGTGTCATACTACCAAATTGTTGGCCAATTCACCGAAAAAAAGAAAATATTGGGTTTTTTTTTTAATAAGAAGAAAAATTGAACCATATTATTTAAATTGTATGAATTAATTTAAACAATTGTTGGATTACTTAGAAATCACATATTTGAAACATATTTATTCAATATAGTAATATTACCTTTTTGTAAGTATTTTGATCAGATGTGGCCCAAAAAAGGTAATTTGATTAAATTTTAATCATAAGAAATAAAAGTACTCTTTTTAATACTGCCAAAAAAAAAAAAGGTTTTTACTCTAACTTCTAAAAGTAGTTTTATGAACGCAAAAATAGATTGCTTTGAAATTAAACGATTTCCCCTAATAAAAGATAGCTTAGGGAATATTTGTGACATCATGATAAATGAGATTGTAGATTGAAATATAAATTGATTTGAATGTATTATATTATTATTATTTGTATATACTGATGAATGCAGAATTTCATTAGAAAGATACGTATCTCCAACTCGACAGGAGACTACACACAAAGTTGGATTCGGAAGCGAGTTCGGAGAATTTGTTTGGTAAATAGCCGAACTTGATTATTTGTGTTACAAGTATTTCTGAATTCGACTCTAACGTTCGAGGATACCCGTGAATTTGAATTACTAATACTAACGTGACATCTGTAAATACTTTGAAATTAAAAGGACAAAATAAGCAAACTTTTGATGTCAAGAACTCAATTGAATCATAAAATATCCGGAGTGCTAACTACTTTTTTGTAGGACCTTATCTTTGAGTGTTTTTTAAGATGTTATTGTTTTAATCGACAATTTTTGTTAAAACATACACAAAACCATACAAAATATGGGTTAGTTTTATAGTGTTCGGATTTTTTTTTCTTTCAAAACTTATTTGTGAAATATTGCTCGTTTAAAATGTTTTAGATAAATAATGCGTAGTTTGAAACTATTTCAAAAAATAATAAGTCCAAAATTTGTCCGCCACCTGGTCATCTCTATCATGCAATTCTAAAGAAGTGATTATCGTCCGACCACCTTTTTATTTTTAATATCATTTTATTTTCAAAAAAATCCACACCGACGATGTCATATGGTCATCTCTTCGTAATAAATGATACCTTAGGGTGTTGGCGCAGTGGCAAGAGGATACCCAAGATCCAGGTTCGAGTCTTTCTGTGTCGAGTAGTTAAAAAAAAAACAAAAAATCTAAAAATAGTATGGTCGTCTCTGGTGGACCAAAAAAATAAAGAAAATAAATTTTTTAGTTTAATAATAGAATTGAAACTCCAAAACGAGCATAATTATTTACATATATTCTCAACCAAGAGATTGTTTCCACTGCTTAAACATAAATAAATAAAAAGTAATAATTGAATTGAAACAAGCCTCATGAACTAGCCCGGTTATAATAGCCAAAATTTAGAGATTATATTTATAATTCGATGTGATTGCATAAGTAAAAAGAGGAATATTTAAAACAAAAAAGGTTGGTGGGAAATGCAAAAGCAATTGGGTTTATGTTTGGAAAAGGAAATTGGTGAAATTTAGTGGTCAGTTCAACAAACTCTACCTGTAAATGTACAAATTTCCATCAATA